TGCTGGCTGGGGAATTGTGGGAGTTGAAATCCACACATCTCAAAGTTGCCAAGGTTGAGAAACACTGGAATGGATAGAAGGTTGGGGTTGAAGGATAAGCCTAGAGAAGTGTGAGATGGGCCCAAAGGTAGCATTCTGACAAACATGGTATGACGCAACTGAATATAAGAAGTCTTACTTCTGAGAATGCTTTCTAACACTTTCTCCAAAGGGATCCCTTCCAGATGTTTGGGCCTGCAATACCTGCCAAGCCTGGCCTACAGGGCCAAGGAGAAATGTTGAGGTGCATTGTAATCCAGATTTTATGGAGGTGATCCAGACTGGGGAAGGCTAGTCAGAAAAACCTTGCTTGATTAGATTGATGATGAAGGGGAGGGGGGGAAGGGGCAGGAAAGGGATCCACCCCACTCAAAGTAATCTGCCTTCCTTCTGGAAGTATCATAGGAGGAGGTGACTTCAGGCCAATAAAGAGTACCATCATTTTGATAGGTTGTTGGCTCTCGGATCAAACTGGCCTACTAGCACTGAACCAGATTTAAGATGATGAGTTCTAGCTCTGTTCTTGGGACAGTGGAGAATGTCTGATTCAAAGAGTGTCATGGTGGCCCTGTTCAAACCCAGGCTGTCCTGCCAAAAAAAAAAAAAATTGGACTCAGCCTGTCCGCGCTCCCAAAGAGAAAGTGGCTCCAGAGGCTTACTGGGAGATTTTGCAGTTTGTGGTGGCGACGAAGCGCCCGGTGTAGTGAACGTTGCACCTCACCACGTTATTGGTGAAGTCCGATTCCATCACGATGTACTTGGGATTCACCTGAACCTGAGATGTTGAGGGAAAGTGAAAAAGCAAATCAACCTCTTAGATATGGAACTGGGGAGTGGGGAGGAGGGTGGTGAAAGTTCCCATAACAAAACACAACAACAACAAAGGTTGCAATAAGGAAAACAAACACTTTTGCTAAACCAACCCGGCCACTGAGCAGAAGATGCTAACTTCTCCCTAAGCCTGTGTAATCATCTCTTCTCAGCTGCTTTTTTTCTTGCAGACGTCCTGCACTCCATAAACATGTCTTCTGCTTTCAAATGCAGTAAAGAGGTCATTATTCAGGGACTGGGCTTAGTTGTGGGTGAGAGATAATTTTCCTAGGCCCCACACCTGGACTGGGGCCTACCTAAAGCACTATCCAATATCTGAAATGCTCAAATGGATCAATAGTTCTCATTCAAGGCCGCGAAACAAACCAGTTATTTCAGTATTTGGACTTCTCCCAACGTTCCTGTTTATCGGACCAGTGCTTTAATGGGAAAAATGTTAGAGAAGAAAAGGTCACATAGATGTGGGAAGAAAATGGGTGGGTGGGTGGGGGAGCAAAAATCACTATTTTGCTCTGGCCATCTCAGAGTCGGCTTCTCAGATGGGAAGGGGATACCATTTTGTCCCTCACTTTGCTCCTTAATGTATTTTGGCCCATTCCCATGAGGGGTGCCTGTAGGGCAGTGGTTCTCCACCTCAATTTCTTTAAGATGTATGGACTTCAACTCCCAGAATTCCCCAGCCAGCATGAGGAATTCTGGGAGTTGAAGTCCATACATCTTAAAGTTGCTGACGTTGAGAAACACTGCTGTAGGATATGGGTAAAAAGGTTGAGATGATAACCATGATGGTGCGATTGAAACTCTGCCTGGTTTTTACAGGTGTTGCGACACAACCAGGCGGAAGTTTGAAAGCACTATCGTGTCTGCCATCTTGACTTTTCTCACCATACCCTGTGGCCACTCCTGGTCTCCATTTTCAAAAGCCACTTGAACTAGATTTCTCCTCACCTATAACCTGCTCTCTACTTCCCTAAAGGATGTAAAGCAACACATGAGGGTTTGGGAGGTTCAAAATTTTGTGGCGTGACATTCAGTTGCCAACAATATTGCAGGAAACAATCTTGTGACTGTTTCTGCATAGCAGAACCTTGTATGGAAAATGGCTTTGATGTAATGCCAGTATTTCACTCTGTTCAGTCTTGCAAACAACCTTGTACCTTTAGGATATAATTCCCAGGCTGAACATCTGTGATATCAATCCATTGGCAATCTATGTCAGCATTGTAAGTGTCGTAACAGCCTGGACTCAGGCCCTGAAAGAAAACAAATGCATGGCTTGAACCTTCAAGTGGACAATTTAAAAAAATCCCAGTCCAGATCTTCATAACATTTGAAAGACTATAGTTGTCAGACTGGGAAAAGATGCTTGATGGGAAAATAGGCATGATAGAGAGGGAATTAGACCTTCTCCTTCTCCTTCTCCTTCTCCTTCTCCTTCTCCTTCTCCCCCCTTCCCCTTCCCCTCCTCCTCTTCCTCCTCCTCCTCAGTCAAGGGTAGACACAGAGCCTAGGACTTCAACTGCTCATCAACCGAACTAGACCTTACCACACATACATTTTGGCTATAAAAATGAAATGTTTGAAGCCTCTGAGAGCCCCCAAGATTGTGCTGCTCAAATTTTGCAGCAAACTGCCTTTTTTATGCAGCACAGTTTTAAACACACACATATCAAAGAGATGTGCCTAACCCTGGGTAACCCTAATGCACCTGCTCTGAGTAACTGCACCAACCCTTCAAAGCTCCAAGAGTTGGGCCCAAAATGTCAATCTTGACTCTCTGGTGATGTCATAGTTTGCCACCATACCTCCACAGCCCTTGGAGGCCAGAAATAATGGCAGAAAAAAGATATTTCCCCATCCCTCATCCATCCATCCATCCATCCATCCATCCATCCATCCATCCATCCATCCATCTCTTTGCATTAGTTTCACTAGGATTTCTGAGAAGCGATCCCTCTCCAAATCAGACCCACCTGGGTGTGTGATGTACAGGCATAGCGCTTGAGGTTCCCAAAGTCACATGTGGTGTCTTCTAGACAGAAGCTAGCTTTGTGACCCTCGGCCACCTTCTTACCCGTGGAAGCGTCCAGCAAGTCATAATGGCTGAACTCATCCATACTGTGATAATGCCTAGGGAATGGAGAACAATTGCTTAGGAACAACCAGAGTCAGATACAGGAAGGTCTTTGAGCGTTTCACATGAGAAGGTGCCCATAAAAGATTTTGAATCTGAATGCTATCGATGACTGTCAGAACTGGGCCCACCTTCCATCTCATTCCTGAAGCCCTGGCTTCTATTTTTTGGCCTGAACCACAAGGCTGTGTTTTGGAAACAAAGTTCTACCATGAAATCACAACTGTTCTAACAGATTATGACAAGGTTTTCAAGCATTTGGGCTCAGGTGCCAAAAGGAAAAGAAAGATGGAAGGAGAACTAGCCAACATCTCATGAGATTTCAGCAAACTCCACTCTTGGGAATCTCATGAAATGTGGGCCTTAAAAAGAGAGTGTGATAGAGTGGTTGAGATCTTGGGCTGTGACTGGGGGAGACCCAAGTTGAAGTCTCCTTGCAGCCATAGGGACCAATTTTCTCAGTCCAACCTATCCTACAACTTATCCTACAAAGCTGTTGTTGGAATAAGAGGAAGGGAGATAGTTAGATAAGCCTTTAGAGCTCCTGGAGAAAAACAATCTAATAAATAAACATAGTACAAATCTATTAAAAAGACTTGTAAGTTTCCACATCTGGAGATGCCACAGTTGCTTTAATGCCGAAGGTCATCACACTGCCGAAATCTTGCATTATAGCAACAGATTGATATACTTTGTCTGCTTGATGTATGTTGGCCGTTGCAGTGAGGAAAACACCTATCTGCTGTTCAGTGTACCTTAGCATTTCTGGGGGTATATTTATCCACATGTGCCCCAGACACAAAAACAGCTCAGTTTGCACAATGAGCTCAATTGGATACTTCTGATACTGAATTGTACGTTCATTAAGTTCACTTTTGACCATTAGGGGGCGTTATATGACCAGTTGTATAGTGCCTCCTATTGGTCTGTAGTGAACATAACCCCGGGATTACAAAGCTAGAAGCTCTCCTTGGGGGACAGATCTTGTGGCTTCTAGTAGGAGGCCCCAACACTGATAGCTCCCTAGTCTGAGAGTGCAAATGAACAAGAAAGGAAGGTGTGCCGATCATAGCAAGTACCAAGCTCATATGTTTTCTGGATGTGTCCAAAACTTTGAACCCTCAGCCATGCAGACAGGCTGGAGAAGGGGTCGCTCATTAGGCTAAACTTCCCGAAGCAAACAACTTACAACTAACCAGGTTTAGTGCTGGATGGAGATGCAGTTATTAGGTTGTGAACAACCCTGGGATGAATTCAACAGGAGCACTGCACATGTTCCCACCCTGATTATGAATGACCCCTACTTACTGATGGCAACTGTGCCATTCCCAAGTATGGCGAGCTCGGTTGGGCAGGAAGTCAGCCGTCCCCTGGTTCTTCACTCGCTGCGGGAAACGCAGTAGCACCCGGACGTCGTAATCTGTCGCTTCTGGAGTGTAAGCGGTGCTGGACGAAAGTGAAACCGAGATATGAGGGCAGGAATGTAGTTCTGCTGCTCAGCTGAATCAGCCCAGGAGGTCTAGTGGTTACGATGCTGGGCTTGGGGCAGGAAGACCCAAGTCCCCATTCCACCCTGGAGTTCCTTGGATGCTTCTGTTTCAGCTGCTCTGTCTCCACCCTTCCTATCTTAAAGGGTTATTGTTGTGGGGCTCAAATGAAGAATGGAGACCCACAGGTGAGCTGCTTTGAGCTCCCTGGGCAAAGGAGGGTTAGAAATGGAAAAAGATGCTCCACCGGATATGCAAATGAAACCGGCTGATGTCTTAATAATTAAAAGGGATGTACAAATTACAAACCAAAAGAGTGACCTGGATAACTTTCCCATATTGGATTTACACAAGAGACTTGTTAAAGCTTTGAAGAATTTTGTGAGAAGGGATAAAGAAAAAATGAAAAAGAAATCAAGTTCTAGGACATTATTTGAAGGCATTAAAGATCAAGACTGTTAGAAGTGAAAGGAAGGAATATAAAGCTGGTTTATTTGATCAAGGTTAAAATAGGTATGTTGTTATCTCTGGTAGCCTTTAATGGACTTTTGCTGACATCAGGACTGAAATGACGAGGCTTTAAGGATCAGAGATGGGGTATGGGAAGAAGAGATTATTTGTTGCATTTTAAGAGAAGGTAATAAGTTACTAAAATTGTTTATACTTGTGATAAAGGGGGAACTTCTTATTCTATATTTCTTTTCTTTTCTGCATTCTTCTTTTTTATTTTTTTCCTATTTTTTCTGTACTGTCTATTTTTAATTTTTATTCTTTTTTATTCTTTTTTTTCTTTTTAATTGTAATTTTTAATAACATGACTATAACAAAAAAATAAATGCAATTCACAACTGAACAAATTGAAAGGCTGGATGCAAGGTGGCTGACTTTCAGTCTGGACCTTGCACTTGCTGATTGATCTACTGCAGGGTTTCTCAACCTTGGCAACTTTAAGATGTGTAGACGTCAACTCCCAGAATTCCCCAGCCAGCCATGCTGGCTAGGGAATTCTGGGAGTTAAAGTCCACCCATCTCAACCTTGGCAACTTCTTGGGAGTTGAAGTCCACCCAACTCCAAGCGGCCAAGGTTGAGAAACTCTGATTTATTATCATCTTGTTTTGTCCCATGTGATTAAAAAAAAAGCAGCCACTGATTACTGCTAATTAGAACAATAGATCCTTCTTATAGTGAGGTGGTCAAGCCCAAATTAGTCTCTGGAAGCCACAAATCAGGAGGAGTCTGGGCGCCCTTTTTCAGGCCAAGACATTTTATGAAAAGGCAGAAGCTTTCGTGAACTACAGCTTACTTTATCCCATGCAGCCATCAAAGTTTGAACTCTGTGCAAACATCCCCCCCCCCCTTGAAGATACGACTCTTCCAATCAGTGCAAGTATCTTTTCAAGCTTTTTTCAGCCTCCTCGACTTAAACTTCCAGCTTAATTAAGGGCCTTCCTGAACGGTTGCATCCAAGAGGACTGTCCAAGTCTTCTTCAATTAAATCTCCACTTAACGGAGTTGAACAGGCTGAGGGTTTTTTTGTTTTTGTTTTAATTATCATTCTGGCCAGTTGGTAATCTAAGTCTGGAGGCCAGTCAATGTGGCCTGGATAATTTCCCAGGTTCTTTTTTTTTTTCTTTAGCAAGGAAATATATTCAACATGTATATTAATGGCTCCCAACCACGCTCGGTTCCTGACGGCTTTCCCCCCCCTTTATTTTGGCCTCCTTTCAAAAAGTCCCCCCCTTCTGCAAAACTCAGGGTTTCCTCCATATTACTGACAGTGAAATCTCTCTATTGTTCCTTGGTTCTATTGACACTCATGACCTGTCTTCAAGATTAGGAGCAATATTTCCCACGCTGGACTTTTCCTTAATTTTTCATAGGCTAGCCCCACATATTTTGGGGGATTAAACTTATTGACAAATATGTCTTTTGGGGATAGGTCTTCTTCACCTCTACGAGACTTAATTCTGTGTGAACGAGACAGTTTCTGCGCTGAGCTTTCATTGGTGATTCTAGATTTGAAATCTGGTAATGGGTGGCATTTTTCCTCCTGTTATTTTGGCAAGGAAAGAGTGATTGGGAGGGGCAGGGTGGGATGGGACCCTACGCAATGTTTCCAAACCGTTCTCTGTAACCATAAAAGCATCAGAGCTTGCCTTGAATAACATGCATGGCTTGGATTCTCAGGCTGGCAGGCTGAAATGATTTCCACATTGTAAAGCAGAAGCAAAATGTACTTTTATGCATGCAATACTGGTTTAAAAAACCAAGAAATAAACTAGTTGTTCCTTTTCCATTTTTCGTTTGATGATGATCCTCTGAACGTGCGCCAGCATACTGTACTGGTGAAGATACTGGACTAGAACCAGGAAGACCCAGGTTATTACAAAGCTAGAAGCTCTCCTTGGGGGACAGATCTT